CACCTCTACGTGAACAGGTTTGGACTTCTGTACTAAACGGATCTTGTGGTGTTTAGCAAACTCTTCATCTAAAAAACAAGTAGATGCCCCCGAATCCAATAAAGATAAAGTTTTTTGTTTTTGAGGGCCTAAAAACAAAGGAATTGTAAAACAACGGGCAGGTTGGACAGAGAAGGAGGAACCTGATTGTTGTCGTGATATTAGATTGTCCAGCCGCATGGTTCCTACTGTGGCTGGGCGTCGTCGTTTTCCGGAATCATCGCACTTCTACTCTTGACAGGGTGCCAATTTTGCTTCTTTGGGCAATTTCCAACCTTGTGACCTTCTTCTCCACAGTACAAACATAACCCTTCCTCCATACGCCATTTCTTCTCTGTTGGAGTAAGAGATCGGACACGCGCCGTGTCGATTTGCATGTCTGTTGCCTCCGAATGTGAGTTTAAGCTATTTGCAGACATAGTCACGTCGTAACGAGTCATTTGGTGTCTTGGACGTTGGTCTTGGCGACGCTGGAATAGGCAGTTGTCACACTTTACAGCTTGGCTAATAGCTTCGTTGAGCGTTTGAGGATCAAGAAGAGATAACAGCAAGTCCTTCACATCATCTTTCAAGCCCCAATAAAACTGACTCACCAACGCCTCTTCACCCCAATTAATGTCACTTGCCAATTGTCTGAAATCCGAGGCATAGACTGATGCAGAGCGTGTTCCTTGTCGTAGCGATCAGATCTTTGTTGTAGCCCATCGAACTTTATCATGCTCGCCAAATGCTTCTGCAAACGCCTCCAAGAACGTTTCAAAGTTGCTCAGGATTGGCGATCGCTTCTCGAACAAGGGAGTAAACCAAGACAGAGCTTGTGCTGTAAACAAGGTTCCAACAAGCCCAACACGCGCTTCCTCCGTCGGATAACGTTCGGGCTGTAAAATTGTTATCAACCTGATTTGGTTGACAAAACCTCGAAACTTGGAACGAGTTCCATCAAACTTATCCGGAAGACTAACTCGAGGCTCCTTTCGTTGTAGGACTACTCGATCTTGTTGAAATGGAGGTAGAACTGCTTCTTCTGGCGCAAAAGTTTGAGGCTGATATGCTTTAGATGGCGCTATCCCAGATGCTCCATTGTTATGGAGTCCTACCATGACTCCTTCGATCTCTGTTGTCCTATGTGACAACGAGGCAAGAGCATTTATGATGGCGTCTAGTTTGGATTCCAAACTTTCAGCCATTTTAACGTCTTAACCTTCGGCTAACCTTCAGAAAGAAGAAAAAAGAGTTTTGACAAGATGACAATATTGGTTCAGAGGAGAGTACTCCGCAACCTCTAAAACGCCTTAAGACTCCAAGATGAGGGGTAATCCACTCTCTCCAAGAAGAATAAGGCTCCAATATTGAGAAAGAAGAGATATCAGTTTAGAGGAGGGTAATCCGCAACCTCTAAAACACTAGCACACCTTCAAGAAGAGGGGTAATCCACTCTCTAACAAGAAGGAACTAGCTCTGATACCAGTGAAAATGCAGTCTCGACAAACTGTCACGGACACAAAATACAGACTTGAAATCTAACAAGAAGTTCAAGAAGAAGTGGCAAAACTAGATTAAACAGATGAGTACAAGAACAACACCAGAAAGGTGAGCTAGAACTCCAAGAGATGTGTTGTCGAGACTAAAGAACCCTTCAGCCTCGACTCCTATATATACTACTGAATAGGAAGCTTCTCGAGCTACTTCCGCTAACTAGGACGCTTATCCAACAACTTCTACTAATTAGGAAACTTCTCGAGCAACTTCCTAGAATCTATCAGAATATTCTAGAACCTTCTAAGAGAATCTTTAGGGAATATTATAAGAATCTTCTAGAACCTTCTAAAGGAATCTTTAGAGAATCTTTAGAGAATATTCTAGAAGAATATTCGAAGAATCTTCTAATGTATGTCCATGACAAAGCACACTACTCAACATTGTCCAAAGAACCAATGCAATCAAAAAAATGAGAAACATGGTTGCTAAATAGGACAATGTGTCAAAAAATAAATTTTATTAGCTATAATAGAGACCATGCGACTAGAATCTTATATAATTCTTAGTAAAGATCATATTCTCTTCTTAGATCCTTCACCTTATTTTAGTATAGAAGTTTATTTAGGACCAAAAATTACCAAGTCTTAGTCTTGTTAGATTCATAAGTCTCAACCTGTTTTTTGTAGATGAAGAATTTGTGAAAAAATAAAATATATTTTTAGTTAAGAAAATCAAACATATACAAACAGAATTAATAGATAATCATTCATTTTCTTTTAGGGATATTAGTTATAAAACTATTCCTATAGAAGTAGAAACTAATAGTCATAATAGTTTAATAATATTTAATGTGATTAGATCTCGTTCTGATTCAATTTTTTTAGGATCATCGTGGTTAAAAAAATATAACCCTTAGGTAGATTAGATTTCTTACAATCTTGATTTTTTTCATAATTTAGCCCAAGATTTTCTTGAGCAAGTAGAAACCTACAAGATCAATATATCCAAATTATTATTGATAAGTGCAAGAACTTTCATGCATGCTCCAAAAAAAGGATCAATTTTTGTTATATATGCTATATCCATTATTGATGGAAAAAAGATTTCAAGTGGCATTCCAAGATAATATTAAGATTATCAAAATGTCTTTGAAAAGAAGAATGCAAATATTCTTCTAAAGTATCATTTTTATGATATCATACCTTTTAGACTTACAAATTTGTCAGCTATTTTTTAACATTTAATGAATGATATCTTTTGCAAGTCACTTGACAATTTTATTGTATGTTATTTAGATGACAACTTGATCTACTCTAAAAACACAGAAGAGCATGAAGTTTATGTTTGTCATGTGTTATAAGAACTAAAAGATGCAACGTTATATGCCGAGATGAAAAAATGTGTATTTCATACTACTCAAGTTGACTTCTTAGGATACATCATTTCAAACGATGGTATTATAATGAATCCTAAGAAGATCCAAACTATCATAAACCTCAAAGAATTAAAATATCAATACATTCTTGTGTCACTCAAAACAACTAAAAAATCACTCAAAGATGATATAATATTAAACTAGAATGGCTATTTCCAAAGACAAGAAGACTAGAAAGTCTTGAGACAAGATTTAGGACTAAAAAGGCATTGACAAGAGTAAAAAAGGCTTCACTCTTGCCTCCATATATACTCTTAATTAGGAGTTATGTGGCAATGTCCTATAAGACCTCTAAAATGTATTGATTTTGGAAGATATGTATTTTAACTTGCAAGACAAGTTTTTTATATATGCACCATATAATTAGCTTGTTCTACAAGCTAGTATTTAAATATTATATAAAATAAATGGAATTGAAGTATGTTTTTAAAAAGAAGATGGCTAAATTATTTAAATTATCTATTGTTGCAAATGTAAATAGTCAATTTTGTCTACAACCGTATATTAAACTTTGTTTATCATATCCTATTTGCAATCTTTAACTTATTATTCTTGCATAAATAAAACAAATGCTTCATACTTACTTAAACATTAGAATTAAAATATATACCTTATTTATTAATAGCTCCACTTATAGCTCTACTTGCAACTTTACTTAAAGCTCCAATTGGAGTACCACTCTTAGCTCCTCCTTCAACTCTCTTATCTTCTTTTTTTGTAATTTAGACAAACAAAGAAAAACAAAATACTTTCCACCTTAAGCTCTTCACATGAGGTTGACTAAATATATTATGTTATGTGAAAATTAACTTATGAATACATTAGACATCTTATTGTAGAAGGTAAATTGTATTTGCAACGAAAAAAGAACCTAACAATCCTAAATATAAGAATCTAAATATATCTTAATTAAATTTTATATTTAAAAATAAAAACTTCTATAATGTAACATTTTTTTAATTTTCTTTTTCTTTTTCATCCATTACCTTTATTACAATACAACAATGGAAATGGAGCACATGACAAAATATGATAGTTGAAAACAAAGATGGAACAATAGATGTGTTTTTGTTAGGGTGGACATAGCTAGGATTTTTAATACTAGAGGTCGACATGGACGTTCTATGGACGTTCCAGGGCGAAAAGTTGGGAGGATTTTGCCGGTGCTCTTACCGGGGCCTCTATATATCATCCATATGCATTCCGGCCTTCACGTCAATATCTGACAGAATGGGCTACACTAAAACGGGGCTCATGAAAATTCTCTTCAGGGATTGTGACCTGTCAGAAGTACTACAACGGAGGGAGAGAGTGGTATCAGCGGGTCCACACTTTCCCTGGCCGCTATAACAGGTTAGTTCAGCAAATGGTGTCACAGAACCCTCTAAGAAAAATAGAGGTTTGAAGACGAGGGGCTTTCTGGTGATGAAAGGCCGCCTTGCATGGCCACCCATATATCTGTCCCCACCCACCAGTTCACATTGCTCAGGCTGAAATAGGGACCCGTTATCAATGGGGACTTGCTTCTTCTGGTGGAGGGGAGAAGATGGCCAGGGTGTGCATATCACACTAATTTAGCCCCTCAGGCCTCCAATTCTAGCCATCCTCCTCAAGTGAAGGGGGGTCAGTTCAGTTCAGGTCTGGTCAGGGTTACAAGTGCATCCAATCACGGGTAATCTCCCCAACTCCTCGGGCACCCTCGTAAAAACCACAAAACTAAAAAACACCTACAACGACAGTAAAAAAGGGCAACCTAAAACTGCCCTAGGCAAGCTTCATCCAGTAGATCTTAAAAACATGTTTTCAGAATAATGTGATTATAAGTGGTATAGTATGTTTTTCATCTTGTTTTATGTGAAAAGATGCTAAAGAGGTGCCACATCATCGGCTCTCATCACGTATCCCGGTTTGACACCGCACTCGCGCCGGGTCCCACATGTGGGGAAGCACGGGCGAGGTGACGGGAGGCGACCCGACCCGGTCTTCGTCTATCAGTCCAGACTAAAGCTCTCTCTTGATTCAAGGCGACATCGCGCCTCGTGTTGTTGTTTTTATTTGCCGAGTTCGTTTGCTCGTTCTTCACTTGAAAGGGGGATGGATTGCTTTGATGCTCGGCTGGGCTATGGCGTCGCTCCTGCGTGTCTTCTAGGTACTCTCGACGTCCATCCATGACGGTGCTTGTCTTTCTAGGGTGACGCCCTTCCTTGGGAGCAGGTTGTTATCGGTTTCTTGCGATTTTCAAGGTGGATTGTCGTATGGATTAGGTTGGATATTTCTTTGCCTAGGTTTCCGAAGATCGTGATTTGCGAATGTCCTTTTATTCCGGCGGGGGCAGTACTCGGGAGAGATTTTATTCCAATGCAGGATGATTTGCAGCTGAGCATCATGGTGCGAACAGGGTGGTTGATGGCGTAGATGTATGTAGGTTGATCATGGAGACCACGGAGGTGTTTTTGTGAGGTTTTGTGGCACCGCCCTTCTGTGGTCGATGTTTGATGATGCTCTGTAGTGTGTGATAGTTTGGTAGTGGGTCTGGGATAGGGTTTGGAGAGGAGGAAGCCTATGCAGGACAGGAGGCGGACGTAGATTTTTAGAATCTGGCTAGAAGTATGCGTTATGTAGTCGTTGCGTAGGAGATCATGGCGGAAGTTATTGGTTCGAAAATCTTCTAAAGGGTTTGGTGGTCGCCGGATTTGAGGCTTCCTTGGGGATTTGCACGAGATGAGAGTTGGAGAAGGGGGGGTACAATGTGATGGGAGTACTTCCGAGTTCTTTGATTTTAGTTGATGTTTTGCCACTTTCGGAACGTCTGGTTGAAGTTTATTTAGAAATTTTGTTCAGACTTGCCTACATCAGATCGTCGGAATGCTATTAGTACGAGATCCTGTGTTTGTGTGGCTCTGTTACACTTTAATGGGGGTACCTTATTGCCTCAGCTCCACAAATTGGAAATGGACGCGATTCTAAGAACAGATTTGGTTCCGAACTGCCCATTATATTATTTTTCTCAGCTGGACAGGATTATAAGTCTCCTACCCATGTTTTTAATTGAAACCAGCATTGGGGATGTGAGCAGGATTTCCGCATTGAAACCACGGAAATGCAATGTTGCCAGCACTTGGGATATTGGAATCAAGCCGGAAGCATCGGCACAGTAGAAGAGCATTGAAGGCATTGACTCTTTTCACCAGAAATAGGAGGAGGCGTCGATCAGAATGCTTCAGGGAGTAGTAATTCATTCATAGAATGACAGCATGGGGGAGTTGTTTCCTTTCTTTGATCCCTCTAGCATAGTAGCAGATCCCTCGTCATTGCCCACAATTCATCCTGCGAACCGATCGCTCTCCTTGTGGTCTATGCCGCTTTGTGGTGCCCTTCAGATGCTGGGAAGCCTATTTCGAGCCTGAGCTGTGACCTTGACACAGCTATGGTGATGGAGAACGGAGTTGGCCACGAGAATGAGCCATTTGAAGAGGCAAATGTGTTGGATGAGAGTGAAGCAACGCAGGCTGTACAGGTTGCTCTAAACATAAGACCTCTCATTCCGTTGGAGCGTGTTCAAGGGTGCAATGATTGCATAACAGTTGTTCCTGGCGAACCACAGGTACCCGCCTTGGTCGATATTCAACTTCATTCAGGGTTCCAAACTTCACTACAAAGCACATCTTTAAAACATAACATTTGAGTCTGCCTTGGGTGTTTTTCTCAGCATGCCTGTGTGTATGTGTTTTTATTCTTCTTGAAATTCCCAATTATTATCTCTCAATTCTCCTTCATTGACTTAGTTATTGCTGGCGGTTTATGTACAGCGTAAGCTAAAAATTACAGTAGTTGTTAGGATTACAAGAGATCATGCTGTCAATGTTCAGGTTACAATAATTCCGTGATCATTGTTGTTGTATCAATTTAGGAGGGAATTAGTGACGTTGACCTATCAATGTACATGTGACAGGTTCAAATTGGCCATCACTCTTTCACATTTGACTACGTTTTCGGCAGAGCTGCTACACCACTACCAGGAATCTTTGACAAATGTGTGAAACCGTTGGTTGAGGGGCTATTCCACGGCTACAATGCCACTGTCTTGGCATACGGACAGGTGCGTTGATATTTTTTATGGACTGTGGATACATTGTTGCATTGAAGGCTGATCGAATGGACAGTTTCACTCCAGCGCGGTAGTCCATGGTACCGTTTACAGAATCATGTATGTGGAATACGTAACAAAAACTCGATTTCATTGGAATAGGATTGAATTGAAACGAGAGTTTTTGCCGCTGCACATTGTTTATTGGTTGCGTAACAGAAAACCCCTCTCCCCCCTCTTTTTCGGTGCTGCAGACCGGATCTGGGAAAACATACACAATGGGAACGGGTTACACAGTTGGAGGGAGCACTGAAGGTGTCATCCCCCAAGTTATGCAGACGATTTTCAAGAGAATAGAAACTCTTAAGCACAAGGCCGATTTTCAGCTTCGGGTTTCATTTATTGAGGTGTGCTGCTTTTCATGCCTTTTATTGTGAATCACAGGTTATGGATTCGAATAATTTTGGTTCCCAACCACAGTCTTGAACCAAAATCAGATGCGTGTAGCTGTTTCCAATTGTAACAGCACAGCACAGTTGTGGAATCTTTTTTGCAATTTGTACAAGATGGATGTGTTTGAGCATAGTGCACAGCCTCATGCATCATTTTATGTTTTCAGTTGATTGAACTGCTGCAGTTAGTCCCAAGAATCTTCCACCAGACATCTCTACGTTGTATGTAGGTTGAGCCTCGTCAAGATATCCGCCTCTTGATAGCTCTTTAATAGAGAGTCTGTTTCGTTAGTACCATTATCATTAATGAGGTCAATGTATTTTGTTTGTTTGAAAGCTAAGTCTTGTCCGTGTGTAGATATTGAAGGAGGAAATTCATGATCTACTGGACCCGAATCCTCCATCGACTGAGTACATATTTGGAGGAGGTCTGAAAGCGCTAGCTGTGGGTAAGCCGCCCATTCAAATTCGAGAAACTACCGCTGGAGGAATCACCTTGATGGGTGTTACAGAGGCAGATGTGAAAAGTCTGGAGGAAATGGCGGCATACTTGGAACACGGTTCTCTTTCTCGTGCTACTGGAAGCACAAACATGAATTCTCACTCCAGGTATTCACCTGCTGCTGTATAATTTGAGAGAGAGAGAGAGAGAGAGAGAGAGAGAGAGAGCTCTGATTATCAGTGTCAATATTATCTTAACTGAATTAAGTGGGTTGGATCGCATCTTTCATCATTTCTCATCTTTTCTATTTGCTTGATGTGTAGTCGATCGCATGCGATATTCACTATCACACTTGAGCAGCGTCGCAAATGGGATCCACTTCCTGATGGTGGAAGCCCTTCTCCTGAGGACTGCGGTGAAGATTATTTGTGTGCAAAGTTACATCTTGTAGATTTAGCTGGTTCAGAAAGGGCTAAGCGAACAGGAGCTGATGGTCTTCGATTTAAAGAAGGTTCTTACAATCGTTTCCCCGGCCAATAATTGTTCCGTTTGCTGTACCTCTCTTACTTGTTCAGTATCTATTACAAAGTGAGCAAGAACTACCACATAAATTATCAAAATTTAAGAACGAGCTGCTAAATGTTTTCGATAAGAAGGCGCTTTTTATTTTTACGTTATGTGTTCCAAAGCTGCAGAAGCTTACATCAAGTAACTTTGTTCAGGTGTGCATATAAACAGAGGCCTACTAGCACTTGGAAATGTGATTAGTGCTTTGGGTGATGAAAAAAAGCGTAGAGAAGGGGGCCACGTTCCTTACCGAGATAGCAAGTTAACACGATTATTACAAGTGAGTTCGCCAATCTTTGGTTGGGATGTTTTAGCAGTTTGTCAAGAGTGAAATATATCACTTAGTTCTGATCATGTTGAGTTTTAAGGCTCCAGAATTATTACATATTTCTATTGAACTGATCTTGATTTTTTCGTATTGTTGTTCCTTTATCAAGGTTTTCTCATGTTTTTCTGTCGGTTGTAGGATTCTCTTGGAGGCAATAGCAGAACGGTTATGATTGGTGAGTACGCTGATGGACAGAGTTGTCTCAAATTTATTATTGATGAATTCGTTAATTTAACGTTCGTAAAACCAAATCTTACTCGTAGTTCGTGTCTTGCAGCTTGTGTGAGTCCAGCAGATGTAAATGCTGAAGAGTCAATTAATACCCTAAAATATGCGAACAGGGCTCGCAACATTCGAAACAAACCTACTGTAAGCACTCTTTTTGTGAGACTTGCTTAATCTATGCAGATTGTATGAGTGAATAGGGTGTCAATTGCTATTACATTGTAAAATTCCTTTAATATAGATATATCTTTATATTTTCAGTAAATAACTTGATCAATGTGAAAGAACTTGTGAGATTTTTTGACAGGAGAATCTATATTTGTATGAACAGGTCAATCGCGATCCTCTCGCAGCGGAAATGCAGCGAATGAGGCAGCAACTTGAGCTTATGCAGGCAGAACTCTTGTGCGCGAGGGCAGGAGGACCTTCAAATACTGAAGTACAGGTGATTTGTAGTTACTTTCTCTTACATTTGAAGTCCTTGTTTTGGTTTGCTTGGCATATCCTTTGGTTTCGAGCATGCATTTTCTGTTGTTTGAGAAACTGGCGATGTTGAATCTTTCTAAATTGTACAGATGTTGAAGCAAAAGGTTGCCTGGCTGGAAGCCAGCAACATGGACCTGCGGCGTGAGCTAGAAGAGGCTCGTGAACGTATTGATGCAGTTTCTGAATGTGCTTTAGAATCACAAGTAAGCATGTATTGCATAAGTAACGACCCGTAATAAAAAATTTACTATCATTTTAAGAGCTGTATTTCATGAAGGAGCATTGAAACAATTCTTTTTGGATTTTGGTGCACAGGTGGAGCGTGACAAGCTCAGAATCAAGCTTGATCAACTTCGATCTGGAAAAACTTTTCAGGAACTTGATGATGGGCTTGACGTACAGGTACAATAGTTCTCATCAAAGCTATTTGGTTGAAGTTACTGTATGGTTCATTCTTCAACTTGGCTTGCTTTCAGTAATTTATGTATATAATTTTTCTCAAGTCCCTCAGTTGTTGACTTTGTCTCGGTGATTCAGACGGATAATATGTTGAAAGAGTACGTAACTAGGATCCAGGAGTTAGAATGCGAGCTACAACAAATGCAGCACGCTAGAGTCCCGTTTTATACTCCCCCAAGGCCTCCCTCTTCAACCTCATCTCGAAGCAGAGGGGAGAGTACAGCCGGACCAGGCTTTGGTGTTGCAGGCATTGACGGAGATATTTATTTACGCACTGGTATGCGATTTATGAGTATCTCTTTGTTGTGCTCAAGATCAGATACATCTTTTGTATGTATCTGAAGTTGTGTGTGCCTCCTTTGATATTCATGCTGTTGTTACGCGAAGACTATTTGGACAATGCTCCAACTTTCTACTAGTGTAAATAATGATCTGAATAATATATTCTGTAATGTGAAGGTGAATTTTCTGGGGAAATTAATACCGAATCGCTTTTAAATGAGTTTAAACGCACGTCGGGGCAAGGGAACCTTGACAAGCAGTTGCGGGAACTAGATAAACGCCTTGAGCGAAAACAGGTGAAGATATTTTACTTTGAATGGGTTATTTGAAACCATTTTTTTACTATACAACTGTGCTTATGTTTGCCTATCTCATGTTTGCTTCTTGTACTTCAAAATACTTTTGCATCCTTTAAATAGAATGGGTATTATGACTTGTAAAAGATATCCTTCATGTATTACGCTACAGAGTTCAGTAAAGTCAATAATGTATAGGAAGTGTATTCGTAGAATATTTATCGAACTACTGGAGATGGGTCTTGTAAGAAGGGAATGATAAAACAATGATTTGTTTAACTTTTGTAATTTTGTGTTGGGTTATTGGCATAGATCAAACTATTTGTACGTCCTGATGGAGTATCTGCGAAGCAACACTTGGAGAAAAAAATGACGGAACTGGAAGAGGACAAGAACTACTTGCAGGTAAGACTTAGTTTCTGTTCCTGCAAGAGTTTATCCACAACATGAGCATTGTCTGGAAAAAATGCCAATTAATCAAACGAAGCTGTGTGAATATACTGGTTCGTTGTAACAATTGTTATTTATTACTCTAAACGAAAGGTAGAACAATGTTATGATAGACAGTATGACAGACGATCTCAATCTTCATTGTTGCAGACGGAGAGGGACAATTTACTGGTGGAACTTGAAAGTAACGCGCAATCCTCAGATAAAAATACGCAGAAGTTTCAAGAAGCTCGTTTGCATAAATTAAAGTCACTTAAGGTTCAGGTGAGATGTGACCCTAAAAAGCCCTTTCGTTCAGGTGCCCGAATCCACAATTCTTAGCTTGGGTTGATACAGGTTTCAGTCACGTTGAGTTAACTGTTGTAATTGGGAGCAGATTGCAGCCCTGAATAATAAACAGGAAGCCTGGTCGCAGTACCTTCGTCAACAGCAATGCAGTGATGGAGATGGCAAGCGGAAGTCTAAGGAGGTAATCGTTGTTCTGAGTTGTTCATAATTTTTTAAACGAGAAAGTTTACATTACGAGATCATGAAAGCCTTTGGTCTTATTCCAAAAGCCTGAATCTAATCCGATATATCCAAAGTTTCCTTACATAGGTTACTGTGTGCGCTCTTGCCATCAAGTGAACGCAGCTATTGGTGACTAAACATCTTGCTGCGACCATAGTGTCGATCTCCATACAATAGTTGAAATGAAATTCTAAGAAAAATCAGTTTCATGTTCATTAATACAAACTGCCTTTTATTTATTTATTATTTGAAGTCCTATTTGCTTCCTGAACAAGTGAATTCCTATCATGTATAGACGCATGAGGAAAATGAACCTCAAGAGCTGCAAATGTGGAGTATAACCACTGGATTGAAGGGTTTCTTTCAGGTTAGTCTTTTATTCTGCATAATTGTGATCTTTATGAAAGTTGGATTCTACTATGTAGTGTATGTTATGGAGGTTCTCCACAGGTGTAAGGTTCCCTCTATAAGAGGGCAAGGGAGTCACTGAGCGTAGAAGCAGCCCAATTTAAACCGTTGCCTTGTTCCCGTCAATCTTACTTGTCATTGCTTACTTCATTTTAAAATACTTGGTTGAAGTCGAAATGAAATCAAAAGAGTAAAGCTGTGAATCACACCTCATTTGTGTTTGTAAACGACGGATGAGAGGTAGACTACAAACGATTTACATAATTATTTGACACTGAGTAGAGGTCTGAAGGAATTATGTAGTTATTGCATAAAGTGTATTTCTGTAACGATCGTTTGGAATTTAGCTTCTGGTGCACCTTGTAACATTGAAACGCAGTTTTTTTATTTTTATTTTTTTTGTCACTTGTTTTCGTTTTTGTTTATTTCATGATAACCATTAACATTTCTATGCTCCTAGATCATTGTAATATATCATCTCATGTGATATCAAGCGTTTTGATGTCGGTTGCTTGTGCAGGAATTCATGCCGAGGAATCTTCTGTATAGGTGCTTCTTTGGTCATCGTCAAACCTCTTTTAAATTTAGCTGAACGCACATTTTTGGAAAGTGGAATATGAGCCTGGTTGTAGCATTATATGTGGATGCGATTACTGTGTATTTCCTTTGGCTTGATTTTTTCCGATTGAAAATTTTGAGAAATCTGTAATCGACTTGTTTTCTATTTCTTTGATCTCATTTATATTTACCAGGCAATTGTGACAGACAGTAGGGGCAGCTTTGCAGAGCAGCTGAAAACATTAGCTGGATCAGAGACTGGGTTTCTAGTGTTCGGTCTGCTTTAAAACAGAGTACGTGACTGTAAGTACCAAATCTTCGAGGCTTCATTTATCTATCAATACAGCTTCTGTATTGATTTGGTTTCGTTTGATGAATTTTCTGTAATTTCATATGATTTAGGTATTTTTTATAGACTTCTTTGTACAAATCAATCTAGCACTTGGGCAAATGGTTATGAATTACTTTTCAGTGATGAAATTGAGTAGCACGTTGTGGTATTCTAGGCATAACCCAAGTATTATAATTTGTTGGAATGGTGCAGCCAGAAGCCTATAGCTTGCGAAGATGAGTCAGCATCAAGGTTGTATCTTCCTGATGAGGAGTTCATACCAGGTAGGAAGTGCACTTACTGGCTTCATTTCCTCACTTCGGTTATTGGCTGATTCGAACAGATAATTTAGTCCAGTCCAGTTCAGTTTAGTTCAACCCGTTGCTGAAATTGCATTTAATTAGCGTTAATGTTAGTTCTGAATTTATTGAAAAGTATATACGATCAGAGATCTTACATGTAATTTCCTGAGAATCTTTTCTATTAATGGTGCATTATTTTTCTGTGCAGCTTCCGTGCTCTAGCATCTTCTTAAAAGAGGGGAGTCTAATTTGGATATTCAATTGTGACCTTTCGACTAGCATTAAGGAAGAGGATGTAGAACGGTCATGTCCGATGTACTGTGTTTTTGTCAACAACTGCTTCTGGAGCCACGTCAAAGCCTCGATTGGTTGCTACTATGGATGTGATTGAAGCAATGTCTTTGGGTTGTACAGTGGGGCATCTAGAATGGTAGGCTCGCAACCATTAGTTGCACGGTTTAGTGGTAATCAAATTTCGGCAGCAGTGTTGCTCTAATGTCGTAAGTAAGCCATCCATGCTCTTATGAAGCGACATGCCAGGGCTGAATGAGAAATCATTATATGAAATGTGTACGCAAGAATACTCTGTTGAATAGCGTTGAAGCTGGTGATTGAATGAACCTGCCCTTTCCCAGCTCTAAAATTTTCACGATATTTCAAAGATGAACCTAGCTTTTTGGTGATTGATTGTCCTCCTCTGCTTAGTATACACCAAATAGGTTGTACCTGTTATTAATCAACATTCGAGCAAGTTCTGGGATAAAATGAGTTCAGCTTCGACATCTGAACTGTCAGCTGTAGTTTGATATTCTACATATGAAATGCACAGAGAATTGGCCGGCATAACATGTTGCGTTTCACATACTTCTTCATGAAACCATGTCTAGTAATTTTTGTTCAGGTCACCTGTTAAGTCTTATTGCAGAGCACAAGCATAAACAATGTTTTTACCGAACTTTTGGCCTAGTTTATTTGATATTGCTTTGAAATCATTGTTGATTGATGATGACATTGGTGATTGTACATCCAGTTGGCTCTGCATTGAAAAAGTGTTTCCGTTGTAATTGGGCCAATTGATTTTATTATATTTTTAATATTCAGTTCTTTAATTGATACTTATAGATTTTTAATACATGATACAACATTACTAAAAAGACCCACCGCAACATTTTCTATATTATCCACAATACTTGACACCTCTAGACGCACAATTTCTTGAAACTCCTTGTAACAAAGACATGTTAATTTGCTACTATCAACAGATGTCTCTATCAATCTATGCTTAGTCTTTTATCACAAACGTGGCTCCTCTTGTGTCATTCTCAAGTTCAGTATTTGAAGGATGTAGCAACAAGGCCATGAACATGCTTCTGATTTCAACTCGCAAACTAAAATACAGGAAAACAGGTTCCTCGTCTGTTGGAAAACATGTACATCTTTCCAAATATTTTTGCAATTTACAAGCTTATTCATTTTGGAATAGGGCAGAAACTGAAACAGTAGAGAGCAGTGCAAGATCAGGGGCACCAAGTGCTGTGTTCCAATCTGAGTACATGACAATTTGGTCAATGCGAACACATATAGCAGATTATGATGTGCTGACATAAAAAACATATCCTGCACACTCAATACCCTCAGCTTTGACGATCGCCAGCTGATTTCAATGTCCTGTAATGTCTTAATCCCAAAAATAGTTGCACACACCGTCCACTTTGAAGGTGGCTTTCAGCCCTCCAAAAAACTTGGCATGAAATTCTCCGCGGACCGGACCTCGCACATCTCAGGAAATTTTAATAGCTATCTAAATCACTTGGTGAACAAGTAGAGGGGCCGGCTGAACCCTTGGGTGCTGTTGGGAACTTCAAGACTAATTTCCTCACAGAACTTAAATCCAACCTGCAAGTAAATAAGATACGTGAGACACAGTGCAAATTTCACTTTCTGCGATTTTGGAAAAACTTGATGCGTAAAGGTATAAAGACTACGAGCTTACATGTTCAAGTAATATTCCAGGAAAGTGATCTGGTCGAAGGATCATGGTTCTGAAATTTTGGCGGCATGCCTGCAACGGAAGCACCGTCCCTCGCTCTTTAATTGTGTGCAGAACTTTCAACATGCTGTTATTAAGAAGACACGGTGCATCCAACAGACTGAAAGAGTGCGCTCAAAAACCATATATAATCATATTATCGATAGTACCAGGACGACATAATTACTGTATAAACTATTTCCAATGACACAGGGTAAATTTCCGATCGAAATAATACCTCTGATACTCTGAAATTCCTCAAATATGACGACCACGGTTGGGGCTCCAAGATAAATGCGCCACCCTGACATTTAACCAATCATCAATGTGAGATGTGCTAGATCAGACACAGCTGGAAATTTGAGAGATGTCCATGTCAAACCTGACACTTTAAGAAAGATCCCAAATCATTCCAAGAAACATAAATGTTTACATCGTCGTCACTGGACTCAAAAAAGAAAATCTTAGACTGAAAATATGGCTATTTTCAGTCACTCCTATTTAAATTCGTAAAGAACAAATGAAACTGATTTAGTCATAGGTGTTGCGGACACTAAGCGCTCATATTTTATGAAGTGGAGTAATTAGCAGATTCAAGTTTTGGGAGAAACACTTCCATGTCAGTAAGACGAATATTACATCAAATACGATTGATTCCTGGAGATCATGATTTTCAGTTTTAAAAAAGAGTTGGTGGCTGTTACTAAATTCTCATTTCGTTTTGACATACCCAGATAACTCTTACTGTGATCAAGACATAGTGAAGAAGGACAGGAAAAAAAGCTTGAAAGACAACGCACCGGGCGAAGGGCTCGATAGGTCTGGATAAAAAACTCGACAAGGCCCTCATCTCCCCAATTCAAGTGTATCCATTTTACTACACTCAAGCTGCAGATAAACCAAAAAACTTAAATGAATTTAGTACTTGTTACTTCAATTAAGAAAACACGACACCTTTCCTTATGCTAGAGATATGTTAATAATGATGAGCAGATGATAAATATAGTTGTGCATATTTGACATAAAAGTTAGAAGATAGAGCCTTCCACATCGAAAAGTCAAAAAAACTTACCATAGAACAGTATCAACAACGTTGCTGCGTAAATTACAGTGGAGTATGTTAGCATGCTTGAAAATCACTCTTTCTAAAAGCTCTTTTCCCTGTAGTCCATCCACAACGTTGTCACTCGCCGTCGATTCTGGGATCACATCCGAAACGGAAAACTTCCTTGCATCCTTATCATCATAGTCGAGCTCATTCTCACAAACGTAATCATCCCAAACGTATATACTATTTACAGTCCTGCCACCGGTGTTTCCAGCTGCCTGTTCCAAATTTTTCGAAGCTTTGTTTATTAATCCTGTTCATTTCAGAAGTGAATCGGAACTGTGTAAGCGTTTTCTGGTTTCCAACTGAATCTATTAGCAAAATCCAGCAAGCAGACGTTGATACTATCATAATCAAGGCATTTAATAGAAAACTATCATGTTGAAGCTAGAAATACGAGCACTTTCTACTGGAGCTGTGAAGACCATGCTAGCTCTATAGATTTCAAATAAATCTATGATAAAAGCATATGGTAAGACAGCCCACCAGGGTCGATGTCAATGCCACACATGCTTCGCACACGGTATTTCTGAACTGTTCAAGAATACCACCGTCAACTACTCGTGAGTATCCCGTTACTGTATACAGAAATCTGTCTCAGAAAACGCTGAAAGCAAGTAAGTACAGCAATCATACGCCTAGTAATATTCATTGAGGGCACCTTAAAATTTAATGAGCTTAGATTACCTAAAGAAATGGTAAAGACACCTTCGTTGCAGCCAATGTCAATAACGTCCTTGTTATCAAACCAGGTCTTCTGCATTAAATGCATACGTGGATCTGTTCCAAGAGCGCTGCCAACCTGCACGGTGGAACCCGAGTACCTCTCAATGCACGATCGTCACCGTAAAAATTAGAGAAAGGGGAAGTGAAAAGTGATGACCTACATGCCCGCTTTGCAAGCAAAGAAAACGTAGCACACCAAGTATTTCACGTACATGCCGAAACATCAGAATTGGCCAGGCACGGATCTACAAGGCAAAAACACACATAGGATGCCGAAAGATTCAGCAATGCAAAAGAGGATTACCCGGTACCCATAGTACTGGTTATAATTGCCGTATTGAAAAATCGTTTTCCGCTTCTTCTTGTTCGCCTTCAATGTATTCTCCTTTCGCGAAGCTTCCCCCAGGGATTGATCATCACCCTTGCCTACTTCAGACACAGGGGGCGTCTTCTCAACAGCAGGGTCATCTTCGACAACAAACGCTCCCATTTCTCCCCCCGATATACCGATTCAGCATACCTCTCCTTAGTCCTCAAACAACGACAAAAAAATAACTGAAAAAAATTCTAAAGCGGGCACAACAAGTCCCACTCTTACATTTTCTGTGATGACACCAATCCTAAGGTCTCAAAAATGAGTATCCCTGCAGCTTAGTTGCCAGAAACTCTCAGTGAACTCTGGCCCTACAAAAGTCCAAGCAGTGCTGTTTCCCACAACTCAATTCACAAAACAAAGAGAGAAAGAGATCGCGAGAGTGGTCAGAGCGACAGGAACTCAATACGGAGGCTGGCACGAGGCCACCGGTGCTTCGCATTCACCATTCTTGGAAGCGGGAGAGCTTCAAATCCATAGCTGGACGAGCAGCAGCAACAACAGCGAGAGACCATAAACCCTCGCAGCCGAGTTTGCGAGGGGAGCCTGGTTCGTAACACCCCCGACGTCTGTTCACACCTCTTATGCGAACCGGTTCATCTTTTTCATCCATGTGGATGAAAGTATGTGTTCGTTCATTTATTCGACGAGAAGATGCACTTTAATTAATTTTTCCTTCAAGATGACCCTGCTTTTCAAGGATTTCAAATCCTTTCATTTTCTTCTCCTTTATTTGACACAAAGACTGGGTGTATCCAATACATTGATGTGTTGTAAAGTACCATAGAATAGCTTAATTCCTGATTCCTTGTTGGGTGGAGTTAAGAGTACAACTTAAAGTAAGTAATTATACTTCTTAAAATAATATACTTTGTATATTATAAAAGCAAGTGGAATTCTAAATTTCTATATAATTATCATACTTATTTTTGTAACTTATTATATATTTATATATATTTATATATATTTTCCGTCCAAAACTTGTCCCATCTTTTTCAATAGAGTTTTCTCTTGTCTTCAATGCTTGTCTATTTTTTTTTGTGAGAACTTTCAGCTATTAAGTTTTCCATAATCTATAAGGCCTTGCCAAATTATTGTTATAGCATAGAGAGCACTCCATACTTCATTTTCAAATGCAAATTTGTTCCTTTGAATGTAAATCGTTCATAATGAAAATCTTGGCAACCAATAGCGACCAAATTTTCCAAAAAAGTCCTTTCATTTTTTACTTTTTACTTTTCTTTCATTTGGAAAAATAAAAAAATTCAGTTCTCTTCTCTCCATTCGTTTTTCTGGGACTTGTCCCGAACCACGAATCCCTTTTCACACATACCGGATCGGAATCTCAAAGCACGTCGGAAGCAAGACAAAATCTTAACTTAGGGTTTGGAGTGCTACGCGTCTCTGATTTCCGCGATCGGGCCGCAATTGAGATTCAGATTTCGTGCTGCTCGATCGGATGAGAGCTTCTCGTTTGCAACAACCTGCACGTAACGGATGATCGGGACGAAGGGACCCTTTGCTTTTCTTTGGATTGGTTAGATTTATTTTGGGTTGGCAGGATATCTGAGCGTGGCAGGAGATTGTGCGTTGGAGGAGATTGAAGTGTGCCGTTTCCTGTGATGTGATATACTTTCTGGAGCCGAATGTAAAACAGGGCGCTGCTGCAGATGAACTTGATCGCCTTTGTAAAAACTGTGGATCAGGTGCTTGCTTTTATGGAAACGGCATGGCGTCGGTATGCCCGGATGATGGGGACGAGATCGCTCAACGTGGCCTACATTCTAGTGTTTGTAGTGCTCTGCTCATGGCTGCTGTTGGCGAGTTTGATTCAAACTCCACGCATTCGTGTACAGCAATGCAGGCTCCTGCAGTCCTTGAATGACAGTATGCTCCCTAGTGCTCCCACTCCCATGTTGTGGCAGAATGCCAAGCTCATTTTCCTTAAATTTGTGTTTCCAAGGCATTCCTTTCTCTGGGTTTTTTCTCCCTTCCAAAATTTGGATCATTTAAAGCTGCTTTGTGTAGAACTGGTGGAGGAATACCTTTCCTGGTGGGGAGTTTTCAGCCCACACCATCGCGACAGTGTTGATGTGTTTCATCACGTTATTTTTACGTGCTGTTGCGCTCAGCGATTGTTGTTGTTATTATTATTATTATTATTATTATTATTATTATTATTATCAGTGTCAAGATCAGAGTAGTGATTTAATCGCACTTGTCCAATTTTGGCTGGTGCGAGTCATTTGCCACAACAAATGTAGTCTATAGCCGATCGACCAGTATTTGCGATGCCAACGGAATTTTTCATTGTTCAATGAGGATTTGGCTCAGGCAATATCAAATTGTCTAAATGCGCATGCGTTTTACTGTCCTTGATAGCGATAAAAATCTGCAATTTTAATGCTGTTCGACGTTGTCCAGTGACCATGTAAATTGTGCATCGTTTCGGATTGTGCTGGAATTTCTACTGTATAAGCCTCCATGATCTTACATACCATCATTTATCGTTTACTATCGTAGAAAGAACATCCAGCTATTCTAATGATGAGCGGCTGAAGTTGTACGAGAACATGACTGGGGAGCTTGACAAACAGGGGCCTTTATTTCTTGGGGACGGGAAGACCTCACAATCTTTGAAGGTATTCCCATTCTACGTTGCCTCTTGTTGGTGCTTGCAAGCTCTGGTTACATTGCACCTTTGCTGCATTCGTCGGTGTTTTAGAGGGTTACGCATCTGTTTCACTTGCTGAGAATCGCTGTATTGGTTGTGTGCGTGCAGTTGTCAGATTTATTTTCTGTAATCAATGGGAAAATTGTCCCTGTACACAAAGTATGTCATGCACAACCTCTTCTGTTGAATATTCAATTGTAGGTCGTAATTGAGTTTGATTGCCCCAAGTCGGTAATGCAGTTCTGTACTAATGAGTCCTGTCCAGAATCATATCACAACAGACATAAAATCTGTTCATATCCATGGATGAAATTAGTGGTACCCAGCGTCATCATTGGCGTTACTCATTTCTTTTTAACAACTGATTATTAGTATTTTTAATCTTGTGAACTTCTGCTTGAATACTCAAAGCGGTCTATCATGACACGAGAATTTATATTTGAAGGCCATAGCGTGACTGGTATCAGCTACTTCTTCACTTGTAGGTGGTTGTTTGGTGTAAGCTTAAAAACGCTTCTCTCAACTATGTGTTTCTCTTGTACAGGTTGCAAATCCACCAGTGCGAGCAGTAGTCTTGTACCTTGATCCTGATGCAGCTCATGAAATAAAGTATGTTTGTTTCATTTTTGAATTCATATTGCAGTTGAATTTCAGATGTCATGTTGGAACAGTCACATTCGATTAATATTTTGAAAGTTTATTTCTCTGTAGATTCGCTGTTGAATGGACACTGTTCTGGATTAGCCCTTGTAGAGGGCATCCTTCACCCGATTTTTTGACAGTCTGTTACGGTTGCGAATTGGTTGCCACTTTTACTATGTGAAGTATGGTTTTGACAGTCTACAATTAATTGGAATTATTCAGGGTAGGTTTGATCAGCGATAGTTCTGGTTTAGGACGGGCATCGTAAACTGGATTTTGTACAAAATAATGGCTGTAAGGATATAGATAGGTACTTTTTAGTTTCTTTTTCTCCACTGGAGACTGGCTTAAATGCTTGCGGTGGACTGGATAGAGCGGTTCTCGTGTGGGTTAAAACCAAACGCCCTGAACCTTGAGCTGATGTTTGTAGTGGGAATTCGAGTACGAGGGAGTTGAGCTTATGATTTAGGATGGCTGGTCTAAACCATGAGGTATTTGGTATGCATACCATTGCACCTGCTTCGATTGATAGTTTCGTGACAGTTACCTCCTGTAGCATTTTGCTTAAAATCTCATCAATGTTTTTGACAAAAGTTGTTGGGAATATCTTTCTTTTTTGCAGGCAGACAATAGAGAGTATTTTATCTCGTCATTTTCCCAAAACAGGTGATTACCAGCATTATCTGAATCCGGCAATCTTCAGGTTTGATGGATTTAATTGCCATCGAAGTTAATGTTCTGCACTGTCCTGAACATTGCTGAACATTGATTTAAGCTGCACTTTAATTATCTGCCTCTAATTTGCCTAATAATGGTTCCAGGATTATGGTTTCAAGATCCAGATCTTTACCATTTTAGCATGCATCATGCGTCGCACCATCAAAACCCAGTGCCTGCCACTCTAGAGGAGGTAAGAGAAGTCTAAATGTGATCTTGGTTGTACTATTTTAGGTACTGACAAAGCGAACCCGGAATAGTTTGAACTAAAGTAGTAGAAAACTAGACTTTCAGACACCTAGCTTGTAGATTCTTTAGGGGACTTGCCACGCTTTTTCTGTGACGTATTTTAATACATTGTGTAATGTGGTTACTCTTATGGTTCAGATAAATTCTGAGGCTGCAGCTGTGAGGCAAGTAGCTGAAAAATCTCTAATTCTGGAGATAGAGCTGGAAAGAGTGGTACTTACTCCTTCTGGGGTACTCGTAGGATGCTGGCAGGTGCTTACTCTTCTTTCTATTTCTCGACTTCAACTACTGGATCAAAACGTTTGTAGTTTCGGTACTTCCTGTTCCATGAGCTCTGGTTAAATACGAGGTCGGGATCCGAGATTCAGCGAAGTGATCGTTTGTTTCTACAATTTGTATGAATCTTCTCTTCATAACTTCTGTCGTCCATCTGCCGCCACTTGCTTACTCTGTGCACCAAACAGGTATCAAAGGGCACAGATCCGGCAGTTATAAGAGAAGAGTTGAGAAATGCACTACCTCGATCGCCAGCAAAGCAGTTGGTGAGTTACCTGTAGTTCTACAGCGTTTGTTCTTCACTTGTTTTCAAGTTCTAGTGGTTTCTTTTGCAGTCACTAATGTGTGCATAAACTTGAGATTGATATTACAATTGTTCGCTTAGATGTATCGATTGAGTAGGAATTATCTCCGCTTCAGATGAATGGAGCTTGATCCTATCTTTTCTATTGTCAGTTGTCTGCAAATCACTTTTGCACTGTGGTATTATCTTGCAATAGCGCTTACATGTGGAATCACACTGTTTGTACGCCTGTTACAGTATAATCCAGTTATTTTTTATACTTCTTTTGCAAGAATTTTGAGTGCACCGCTCACAGCTCGCAAGGTTAGTCAAAACTTGTGGATGTAGTAAGTATCACAATTGTTTATTAGCATGGCTTCCTAATTCACCTGTAAGTTTAAGGGTCTGAGGTATTTTCCTGCATCCTTGCATGTTGCACTATTGCACTTAAAAAGCAATCTAGAATTGCTAACATAGGAAGTATATCTCGAACTAAGTTGGGTTGTGGACTCAAGGGGCACACAGAATACTGATGAACGACCGCCTCTGGGTTAGGCTTTTGATGTAATTGGCCTTTTGTCTCTTTTTGTCCTGTTTCTTTGCCGTGAACAGGATTATTCTGCAGATGCGGTTCTGGAGATTTTGAAAGGGCTTGTTTCTCAGTTGAATCAAAACCTGTGCTCCAAGGTAAAAGTTCTGCATGTTTCACCAGCACTGAACCTTTTTATGTGACCGCTTCCTCTTCTTTATTTTTTTCCCTCCAACATGTACGTCGACTTAATATAAAGATAGAATGTTTGCGTATATTCTGGACCAATATACACAATTCTGGTCGTAGAGAACGAATCACGAAACATTGCAGAATATCTTCCAGAAATTGCGGTGATGTTTATGTCTTGTAGCAGGGTGAAGCATATTTGGAATCGACAAATCTTTTGTACTGCACTTGAATAAAATCTGTTCGAGTTGCATATTGAAGATAGCCTTGTGTTTGCAGGCTGCAGTTAAGGAGCTCTGGTATGTTGAAGAACTTGATTTACTAGCCTTGGCCCTGAAAGGTAGAACTCGGATCAGGCGCTTTCAGCTTCAGTCTGATCCCAAAGGCTGAAATATTTTGTCAGCACATTACGGCCTGGGTCATGAAAAGTATTTAAACCTGTTTTGGTGTGCCTATTTTATTCAATGTCAATATACTACTAAAAAAAACATTAGTAAGTCAAAGTTGCACCCACATTGTTGCATAAAGAACCATCCTACTTTGGTATGACGTGCTGATCCATTAATCTAAATTCTTCCTATGATAGAAACTTCTTTGGTATATCATAATGCATCATGTTGTAGTATGATGAACTAAGTCACCACCAAAGATTGATTTTGTGTTGCCCATTATATATTTGTTGGTATTACAGAAGATTCAAAAGGTAAGTCACCAAAGAAGGTAATTCACATTGTTATGGTTTTGTGACTTGTTCAAAGGTAATTTTGCTTTGATCAATGCTCGAATGGGGCGGCCTTTTGTCTTTGTTGGCAATAGGAGCCAACATGGTGGGGATTATTTTTGGCAGTATTATTTTAAAATAAAAGGCCAACACAAATAGGGTATTTTTAGATTCTTATCTTGAAGGTCAAGTATTCCTGGACAATAAGGTGTAAAAGATTTAAGAATAATTTTTCTTCTTAAAACTTTTTCCATTCTAATAGCATATTTTTATTATCGTCTATTATTATTGATTCTTCTAAATAACCTTAAGCAATAAATGTAGTTATTTAAAGCAATTATATTCTTGTGTACACAAAAACATAAGAACATTTATGATATAGCAAATATTTCAAAACATTCTTGTGCAACCAACAAAAACAAATTGAGCATAGTATTAATATGTTGAAAAGAGATTTAAAGCTTCAAGGATATATGAATAAAGAATTTGCAAAATAACATAATTTTCTACCACTTTGTGAAAGCATGTATATTACAACACATAGGAATATATAATTATTAAAAAATGCACAACTTGTTATAAACTTATGAATTAACTTTATTTTGTTCTCAATCTTGTGATTATATAGTTGTTGTTGCTGTTGTTTATTTTATTTTTGCATGCATCCTATTATTTATAACTTGCAAAAACATCAATTGCCAAGTCATTCATATTTTGTACAGTCAATAAAAATAAATAAATCAAACTAGTACGTAGATTGCAAATAAAACAACAAAACATTGCAAAACTTAAAATTTTATTTAAAGGTGACACAATGTCTCTCACAGTTTGAAGTCCTCCCAAATTGATAGATTGGGTAGATAGAATTGATAAAAATTATGAGCGACATATTAGTACCATGCTGATAATTCAAAATTACGATGAAATTACAATTAATATGAAATCTTTGCCCATGGATCCCCATTTCTCACTACTCTCCATTTGTCTTGAATATTGCATAATTAATTGTTTCACCTCTCCAAAACATGTCGTTCGCTGCCCCTATTGAAAAAGTCTAGCATGGGATACAGTAAGACATACTTTTGTTTTGTGAAGGGAAAAAGTTACCGCTCTGGCATGTAAGCTTCGACACCCAGGTCACGGTCTCCAGCCCCGAACTGACGAATCCTGAGACCGTGGTGGAATGACCGTGACCGTTTCCCATGACCGAGCCCCGAGGAGAGCAGCTATGGTGGCCTTCGGCGACTTGCCCTCGTCGTGCTGTATGTAGGCGTCGAAATTCTCCCTCTGCCGTCACGCACCACATTTTCATTACGAGTGTTTAGAATTCTCAGGTTTAGCTACTCTCGGTCGGGTCTTGCGTATGAAATCGAAGCATTTTTAGCATTTGAGGCGAAGGTGGCATTTTTACCTACTGTGAAGTGTCGGGGCTCATGAGATCCCCATCTCGCTTGAATTGAAGGGACGTCGAAGAATTTTTTTTGAACTCGTCTTTGTAAGAGTTTAAGATATTTGTGCGCGTAGAAGGAGATAGCACTGCTTTGCATTGGAAGCATTGTTTCCGAGCCTCGCTTTGCCTTTGTGTAACAATTGCCGTAGGAGATTGCTATCGTTTCTGGGTTTGTGATTCATGGTGTTTTCAGGTGAGTATCGCTTGGCAGGGATCGGGAGCCTTGATTTTATAGAGATTGGAAGGAATAAAAGGATCTGGTTTTGTGGCTTTTCTTTGCATTTCCGCTATGCTTTAATGCCTGGCCCGATTACGGTGGTATGAGTGTCTTAAGGTTGCGAAAAATTACTTCAGTTGGAGTCGGGGTTGGCTTTGGAATAACATTGTGCGTGTTGTGTGATGTAGGTTGAATTATTAGGACGGCTTTTCCGAGGGTGATGTTTTCTGGGTTTTACGACATTAAAATTTGTTATTTATTTTTTGCAGTCCCGGGGTACAATTTGTTGTGCAAGACTTTTTCGCATGGATGATACCATGAGAACATTGCAATTTTGAATCTATCATTTCGCTTCAGTCGCAGCTTCGGGGATTGAGGAAGATGAGCCTGTCACACAATGCCTTTTGGGTGGCAGCGTTGGCACTGTTGCTAAGCAACTTCGTCCTTCTCTTTCAACGTTCATCCTCTCCACCGCTTCTATATCAGACACTGGAAGTACCACCAACCGCTAGTGCCACTGAGATTGAGGCAGCATACTTTCGTTTACACCATGCATTGTGGATTTCGGAGAAGGAGGGGCCAGCGTACAATACAATAGAGAAACTCATTGATGTGCAGCATGCATATGATACACTGTCTGACAAGCGGCGGCGAAGGAATTATGATACCTTCCTCTTAGATGAGCTCGAGGCAGCTGTTCAGAGAGCAAAGAAAGAGAATGCTGGGGTTTCAGTTGATGAACTCGAATTCCCATTATGGCACGTTGAGCCCGTAAAAGAACTTGGAGAATCTGCGACCGTTTCGCTCACTAGCCATAATTTTAATAAGATTGTTTTGGAGAGTGATGATGTTTGGGTTATACAACTTTATTCAGAGATGAGCATCGATTCTCAGGAGCTATTAGATTCTTGGGACAGTGTTGCTATGGACATGGCCGGTGTGGCTCAAGTAGGTCGAGTTGAGATTGGGCAGATTCCTTTATTAATTTTGCTTGCCGAGAAAACGCTTTACACAAAACAGCCAAGGTTTGGTTCTGGTCTTCCTGAGATTGTAGTCTTCACATCAAAATGTCGACGATTCGACTGTTTGATAAGGTACCGAGGCTTAAAGACGAAGGACGCCTTAATCGATTGGGTCGCAACATCTGTTCTTAAGTTACCACGAATTTTATACTATAGTTTCAAAACTCTGATGAAAGATGTTATTCAAGGAGCCGGCACTCACAAGGTGAAGGTATTATTGTTTTCTGGCAATGGCGAGAGGGCAGCGCCGTACCTTCGGCAAGCTGCTAAAAAGTATTGGGAATACGCCGTGTTTGCAAAGATATTGTTTCAGGAGCAGAACGCAACGTTTTGGGAGTCAAGAGTTGGGGTGAAGTCCGCCCCAGCCTTGGTATTTGTAAAAGATCCTGGATTAAAACCTGTGGTATTTCATGGTGTTTTGAACAGCTCATATTTCGAAACGTTGATCGAAGAACACAAAGCATTTGTGTTGCCGCAGTTGCGACGCATTTCTGCTGAAGCATTAGGTTGTGATGCAAGAAGGAAGTCCGTGGCTGGAAATAGCACCACATGGTATTGCGTGATAGTGGCGGGGAGAACGGGCCCATCTTTGAGTCAAGTGCGCGGAGTTATGCGAGAAGTCCTTCAGAATCTAACGGATACAGAGGTAGTGCTAGGTAGTGGAGTGCCAGGGCATGTGCTTGCAGCGGAGGCTCTGAAGTCTCAACGCCTGAGTCTCTCATGGCTCGACGGTGACAAGCAGAGGGATTTCTGCTACGTTTATCTACATTCGCCAACAATGTTTGAGGCTTGTGGTCCTCGGAGGAATGGAGAAGTTGATGACGTGCCGAAAATATTTCTTGTACGCTATCAGCGGAAACTCCTTACCATCAAAGAGCAGGAGAGAATAGAGAAGAATAAAGCTCTTCGTGCCAATAACCCATGGATATCTCTCCTAGAAGACAATGACAGCGTCGCTTCACAACTTGTCTCCAAGTACGAAGGTTCTGCAACGGTAGCTGATATCGTACAGTGGGTATCACAGATGGTATATGAAGGCGACAACAACGACCTTCCAAGTTTTAGTGGCAAGATGCCAGAGCTTCTTCCTGAAGAGAGTTTACCTTTCTGGGCCCAGTCACAGGAAGTTGTTGCTGATGGACAAGCAAAAGTTGTTCACTTCATTCAGAGGTTTATGCAGACACTCTCACCCTACACATCGAACATGAGTTTAGTCCCTGTTGTTGTTTTCCTGGCTATTTTCTTGAGCTTGCATTTCTTTCTGCACCTCAACAAATTTCCCCAGCTCGTTGGCCATGATCCATCAGCTGGTTGAGCAGGAAAAATATTTGCCGAGTTTGTTGACGGTGATACTGGTAGAGGAAGGAACAGGACGAGATCATCAAACTTTGCGTCTTCTCCATTGCAACTGGTATGTATATACATTCTGTATGAAAGAGGGCGGCGATGCATGTTCTTGGAACATTGGATTGCTGTAAGTTCAATTACAATGCAGTGTAATGCAATTGCTTTGACTCTACCGTGCTTCATGAACTTTTTGAGATTCTCATTACTTAACATTTCTTTTACTACTCATTTGTACAATAGTCCATATTTTGAGTTTTAAACGGCCAACCTCTATCGACCCTGCGATCTTTTTAACACATCTAGTAAAATTTATAAATTCGGAGTATTTTTATTTGATGGTTCGTTTTGTTACAGTAGAGTTGATCTTTAGAAAGTAATCTATCTTAAACCTACTTTCTTAGATTGCCTACTTGTTTTGTTTTATAAAGATATAATTGTGCTAGTCAAATGGTAGCACGTCTGGTGGATTTCACGAAGACCGTGTCACTCATAGGCTGCTTCAATGGGTCAATGGGTGTAGTGACGACAGTGCAGCTTCGTTTGTGAGGGTGGTTTGTGCTGTGACCTTACAAAAAATCACCTAGCTCCTCTACATGTGGGCATTTTTGCTCGCTCAAGGCACCTTTTACCTTGACTTTTGAATTTGATTTGAGCATCAATTGAAGTTGAATAATGTCCACCTTCTTACATTCCGCTTTTCTGCTTACCTTTTCTGCTTACCTTTTTACCTTCATTGCCAAAATATTGAAGTAATCTTCATTGCAAAATGTTGAAGTAAGCTTCATTGTGGTAGAAAACTTTTGGATGTCATTGCTCCAAAATGGAAGACACAACTAGTTGGAATTAATACAGATGGCGAGTAGACGTATAAAATTCATGGACATGAAATAGTCATCCATGAAAAAATTGAGTGGGTTTTTGTGACAAGTGCACACAATGATTTACGAGTACCTAGTGTAGAAGGTGCTTGCATGTATCTATTACATTTTTTAATGGTATTGCTTTCACTTGACAACGTTTTGAAGGTAATATCCATTGTTGTGACATGCTTGCAAGGACTTAGCATCCTTCTGAATCAACAAAAAAACTCAACTTAAAGGCTTGATTCAATCCATAGTGGGTTTGTATAAAGTGCAAGGTCTACACAGTATGGAGACCCAAGCCATGGCTTATGGTGCCCAAAATCTGGTCAACAGCAGATCTTAGTATGTGGCTTTTACAAGTAAAAAGGCTTTCATTCAAGATCAATGCACCTTCATGATGAGCTTCATGGCTTTGTTGCCCTCAATCAAGGTTGTTGCCATGGTTCATGACAAAGTAGCCTTATTTACTAGGCTCATTGTAGGCATTGTGTCCATTCTTATCCAATGCGATTACATCAATGATGCCAATGACAAGAACATTCCCAAAATATTGCCATATGATTTCTGTGCATTATAAACATATTTGCTATGCATTTCTATTAGTAGATACAAATTGCGGTTGGAATTGGCTAGATGGGACACTCAATCTATTAAGGATATTGAGAATGATCACCAAGCCATGGTATGCACCTACAGCAAGGAGATGACCTTCAAGGATGCCATTAAATTTTTTTTGATTTACAAATAAAAAATTCTTGTTGGATGGGCTCATTGTGATGGCTGGTTTTTACAACTTCAAAATTTTTGTGGCAAGGTGGCTTCCATTTTTCCTAATATAAGCACTGTCAAATCCAACTTCTCTATAATTGAATGAAAAAAAGACAAGTATTGATAGTGTCTCACAGACTTTTTGTTTGAGAGTATCCTATACTCTAAACAATTTAATAAAGTTTGTCAAATTTGTCAAGGATGGATGTTTTTGGATAGCTCTATCGATGAATTTTATTCATTCTTAATTTATCTAAAATAAAACCTGCATGCAATCTTAAAATAAGCTAAATTAAGTATTTTAAGAAAAGCCCTAGTTTAAAGAATCTTAATTATTGGTCTTCTATTACAATATTGATATTATTATCATAAAAAAAAAAGTTTTTGTATAAAATTAGAGAAAATATTGAGAAAAATTTCTAATATTTTCAAATAGACATTATGATATATAGGTTTTATTTTTTATTTTATTAAAAATCAAAGCTTTGTAATTTATAAGCATTTGATTTATTTTTCAATTATTATTTTTATTTCAAAATTTGCATATATTTTAATTAAAATATTAATAATTATTTTTTATTATTATATTAATTTATTTTAAGATCAAAAATAAAATTTAAAATATTAGTTTTTAAATAAAACTATATTAATACTTTTGTTATTATAAGATTATAAATAAAAAGACATAAGCTTTTAAACCAAAAAATCAAAATTTAAATTATATGGTTTATTGAGCATGTATTATATTTAGAAAAAAATATTAAAATAATTATCATGAAGAATTATTTTTTAAAGAATCAAGTATCCAAAAACTATATAATCTTCTTTTAACAACTTAAAATATATTCATATATGTATATGTATGAAAGAATATATATATATATATATATATATATATATAGGGACATATTAGTAAGAGATTATTTTTGTGTTAGCAAGACATCATTCTTTTACTATTCACATTGTTTATATGTGAAAGTATATATATATATATATATATATATATATATATCAAATGCTAATATTCTCCACTAAATCTGTCATCTTTGCTTATGTAATTCGCATTGCTCTTCTCAACACAAATACCCTAGCCATTTGCAAGATTTTGCATACTTATAGAGAAGTTTTATAAATAGGGCAAATTTAGGCATTATGGGTAGTAACTTAATTACAACTCCCATACTCATTACTCTTTGGATTAGTGTTGTTGTTTGACGATTTGAATCTAAAAGAATTTGTATATGTTAAACTTTTAAAGAATCATCCACAAAAGTAGATCAATACCAAATCAAAAAAAAATTGTGACTTTAAAATAAAGTAAAGCCATTGCTCTATTTAGATTAATGTACTAGTTAGGAAGTAAATTATTATGTATTTCATTAATTCCAATAAAGATCTCTTGTATATTTTTATTGCTTATTTTTTATTGTCTTTATTTGATGGGATTAAAAAAACAATAATGAGTTTGCATAGCCATCATTGTTGGTAAAAGTCTATTATTTTAAGCTTGCATTTTTCATTATCAATATTCTTGAAGACATGCAAACAAATTTTAGAATATTAAAATAAAAATCCTAAGTTCTTGTAATATAATAATAATGAACGCTTTATATTATTGAAAGTTAGTTCTACCTCTAAGGTTGTTGCAAAAACCTTCTATCTTACCACTTGTCTAAGAATGTTTCAAGACATTCACAACCGAAAGAACAAATTAAAGTCAAAAAATCTTGCCAATAGATCATTGATTGAAGCTATATTAAATTTCTTTAAAAATTATATAAAAATGACAATAGAATTGATGTAAAAAGACGATTTATGCAACTCTTATTCATTTGGAAAATTATTAGAGAGATTGCAAAAAAATACTTATCAAATTCTATTAACCTTTTCAATTATACAAGTAAGATTTTAAAAGATAATGCTATAATTATTTTCTTATGTACCTTATTAATTACTTCCAATTATTATTACATTAAATAACAATTAAATGCCACTACTACATAAAATAGGATTTTTTTTCTATTAGCTAATTTTTTTCACTATTTTATTTCTTTTTAAGTCGTAAAGAAAAATTGCACTACATATGAACCTTGGAGCAAGTGAAGAAGTATTTTGGAACCTTGAAGCAAGTAAAAAAATATATCTATTTTTGCATAAAATATTTTTAAAAGTATCTTATTTTATATTAACTTAAATATAGTCACATATATTTTTTTTATGATACATTTTTAATTAGATTGTAATATTTCAAGCATAATAATCTTTAAAAAATATTCAAGGAATACCATAGATTGTGATCCTTTGACAATATAGATTATTGCACAAATATGTGTCAAGGACATAAATCTCAAAGAAAGAAAATCCTCAATACACTCTTGTATCACTGAAAGGAACTAGAAAGTCATTCAAAGATGATATAATATTGAACTAGAATAGCTATTGCCAAAAACAAAAAGACTAGAAAGACTTGAAACAAGACTAAGGACTAGAAAGGCGTTGATAAGAGTGAAGGCTTCACTCTTGCCTCTATATATACTCTTATCTAAGAGCTATGTGGCAATATCCTATAGGACCTCCAAAACGTGTTGACTTTGCAAGACACGTATCTTAATTTGCAAGATAAGTTTTTTATATGTGTGCTACATAATTAGCTTGTTCCACAAGCTATCAATACGTGGTTAACTTGTTGATCAAGTTTCTAACCAATCAATCAACTACAAACATATGTAAAGTCAAGGAGCATCTATGTAGCTTCTTAGAAGCTTCTCTAAAAAGGTCTCATGAAATTAACCTACTTTTATCTATTTTTATCTATTCCTATCTAATCATATATGTATTTATTAGAATACCTATATATATCTATGACATTATCTCTTCTTCTAAAGACGAGTTCCACAAGAAGCAGTCTTCATATGTTGAGAAATCCAAGATACAGCAAATTGTATTTGCCACATACTCCGATCTTTGTTTTCTTTGAAGATGGTTGATAGGTACTTTCAGCCATTGATAGTATCTTATACCAGAGTGAGAAGACTATCCTATTATTTGGTTATTGTTGAAGCTTTTGTAACTTCTTTCACATAAAACATTTGGAATACCATCAGGAGTTGTTCCTACTTCTAATAAAATCACCAAACATTGGGAGTCTCTTTGAAGGTCATAATATCAAACATGTTGTATCCCACCATCTATTTAAGGAAGAACATGTCGTTCTTGAGGATCTTTATCTTGTTTTTGTCATTTTGAAGGTTATGACGATCACAATGTCTTATCTGGTAAGTCTGCAAATGAAAGCTCTTGAGTTAAATCTATTGGTTGTTGATTCTCCATCTCCTTAAATATACAAAAACTATAAAGAAGGATAGAAGATAAAGTATTATTTTCTTTTGATCGTGTTTCTTTTATAACAAAGATTTGCTATTCTTCATGTTGATTTTGATGGATGTCATTGATGAAAAGCTTCAACTTTCTTTGTTACATTTGCAAGATTCTTTGGTGGCTCCTATGTATATTCACTAATATCATATCTATGCTAATGAATAAGATATTCCAACCTATTTTGTCACCACCTTGAATTTAAGACTTTTTCTATCTCAAACTCTTGATTATTATCCATTTCTATAAGAAGAGGTGGTATTTTTCTTCTTCTCAAGATATTCACTCTCTTGTACAGCTCAAAAAAGGACATGTGAAATATAGGGTGGATCTTCATAGACTCTGGTAGATATAATGTTAGGGAAATATTCCTTAGAACTTTCTAGAGAGAAGTTTCTAGAACCTTCTAGAAAACAAGCCTTTGGAATCTTCTAGAAGAGAAGCCTCTGGAATCTTTTAGAAAGAAGTTTCTAGAACCTTCTAGAAAGGAAGTCTCTGGAACCTTCTAGAAGAGAAGTTTCTTGAAGCTTCTAGAAAAGAAGCCTCTGGAACTTTCTAGAAGCTTCCTAGTTAATAGAAGTAGCTCGAGAAGCTTCCTAAGTAGGAGTATATATAGGGATCGAGGCTGAAGAGTTCTTCAGTCTCGACAACACATCTCTTGAAG